ATATGTTTTCAAATACTTATTTCTAAAATCTGAAGATAGAGTATATTCTTCCATAAAAAACTATATTTTTATGTTCAACATAAACTTTGTCACAATAGTTTCATAGTTTAGTTAGAATAATTGTGTTTTTATATACAGTATTTGTTAATTTTATCAGTAGATTATAGATTATTTGTACACAATTATGGATAACATATGTCCCATGACCACTTTTGATCACCTATACTTCATAGATTTCTTTATATTGAAAGTAGCTGACCCCTTATCAGGAATAGTAGGGCGGGGATTCCTGTTCCGAGAGTGATGGGGGCCTAACAGTGGTTCTTAGTTGGAGCTTGGCAGAACCACTTTATAGATGTTTTAATGAAACACTGAGATTTTTAGCTCTAGCCTGTAGAGTCTTGAAAAGCTTCTGGCAATTCCTTAGCCAGTGTCTCATTACCGGTGAGATTATTGTTCTATAACAGAATTTTTGTCAGAGATGGTGGAAGTTTTCTTAACACACAAAAAGTGAAAACTCCAGAGACAAAAATAGTTGAATTTTACACTAGAGTTAAGAACTTTTCATTAAAGGTAACCATAAAATTAGTCAAAAGGCAAGCTATATACTGGATATATTTCAAACACTGATATAAGATTAGTGTCCAGAATATAAATAATTACTACAAATTAGACAGATTAATAATCCATTAGAAAAATGGTCAAAAGAGATGAACAGTCATTCCATAGAAGAACTTCACATGGCCAATAAACCTATAAAATTTAAATTTAAAAGTAAGTGTAATTTACCTTAACTTGATTTAATCTATCATTATAATTATGTACTAGTTATTAGAATATAGAAAGACACAAGCTATAAAAACTCACTCAAGGAAAGAATGAGTAACCTGAGTAGCCCTCTCTACATTAAAAAATTTAAATTTGTAGTTTTAAACCTTCCTACAAAGAAAGCTCAAAGATCAAGTATTTTCACAGGTGAATTCTACCAAACATTTAAGGAATAAATAATACCAATTCTACAGAAACTCTTAAAGAGGATGGAATACTTCCTGACTCATTCTATGAAGGCATCATTACCCTAATAAAATCATGCAAAGACATTACAAGAAATGAAAACTACTGACAAATACCTCTCATGAACATAGATGCAAAAAAAATTAACACAATTTTAGATCTCTAGAAAGGATAGGTACATTGTGATCAAGTGAGGTTTATCCCAGGAATGCAAGGTCGGTTTTTAACATTTGAAATTCAATGTAATTCACCTATTAACAGACTAAAACCAAAAAAATTCTTAGGAATATATATGATCATCTCAATAAATGCAGAAAAAGCATTAGATAATATTCTGACATAAGCTCTCGTCAAACTAGGAATATAACTAAATCATAGAACTAAATGTATAACCTGAACCCATAAAACTTCTAGAAGGAAACACTGGAGAAAACCTTTGTGACCCTGAGTTAAGCAAAGATTCCTTATACCCAACATCAAAGGCATGATACATAAAAAGAAAATTGATTGAAATACATAAAATTCAGAACTGATATTCCAAAGACACAGCTAAGAGAATGAAAAGGCAAAGCACAGACTGGAGAAGATATTTCAAATCACATATCTAATACAGAACTTGAATCTAGGATATACTGTATGAAGAACTCTCAAAACTCCAATAATAAGAAAACAACCTATTAGACAATGGGCAATCAAGTGTGCTGAGGGGAAGAGATAAACCACAGAACTTTTATGCATGTATGCATAACCAATGGACATACACAACAAAGCTGGGGATGGGCTGGGGGGGATGGGGAGGAGGGTGTCAATAGGGGAAAAAGGAGAAACATCTGTAACAAAAACAAATTAATAAAAATAATTAAAAAAATAAAAAAGAAACTGAAAAGTAAAACTACTTTCATAAGGTTTATCCCAAGATTGCAATTTTTGATAAAAGTTACTGTCATAGATGCAGTTTTTGGGGGTTTAAAAATATATGATTGATCTTTACATGCTATGTGGGAAATATAAAAAATGTGACTGGAAACCAAGATAGATAAATTAAAAGATTTTTTTTCCTTAAAACAACAACAAGAAAAACAATAGGTTAAAAATTAAATTACACAATTCAACGAAGAGGATAAGCAGATGTTAAGTGCATGAAAAGATGCTTAACATCATTATTCATTATAGGAATGCAAATTAAAAGTACAATGAGATATGCTTACCTGGCAGGGGAGATACCATGATCACAAAGGAGGTTTTCCCAGGGCGAGGCTTATCCCTTGCTCTCTGGATGTGCTGACCCCTGCTATTTCCCCAAATGTGGGAAACTCGAATGCACAATTTGTGGTAGTGGGGGACTGCGTTTGCACTCTCCCCTAAGGAAAAAAAAATGTATAATGAGATACCAACATATAGACACTGTTATGTCTACAATGTAAAAGACGGACTGTACCAAGTGATGGCAAGTATGTGGAGCAACTGGAACTCTCATATACTGATTGTAGAAATGTAAAATGCTACACCCACTTCGGAAAACAGGTTGACGGTTCCTTAAAAATTTAAACATACCTATCATATGTTTCAGCTATTCTACTCAAGGTATTTGCTCACGAGAAATGAAAGCATATGTGTATACAATGACTTGCACATGAGTGTTTCTAACAGCTTTATTTGTCATGACTAAAAACTAGAAACAAGTCAAATATCCACCAACAGTGGAATGGATAAACAAATCTCTATATATCCATGTGATAGAAAACTACTCAGCAATAAAAAAAATGACTATTGATACATGCTAAGTGAAAGTAGCTAGATAAAAAAAGAGTATAATGCATAATTTCACTTTTATAAAATTCATGATGATACAAACTAATATATAGTGACAGAAAGCAGATCAGTGGTTATTGGGTGATAGAGGGGGTACATGGCAGGGACATGTAGAATGGTAAGATTACAAAAGGGTACCTGGAAACTTTTGGGGGTGATGGATATGTTCATTTTCTTAATTGTGGTGATAGTTTCCCAGGTGCATACATATAGTAAAACATCAAATTGCACACTTCAAATGTGTGCAGTTTATTGTATATCAGTTGTATTTCAAAAAAGTTATAAATTTAGGACAGTGGAGCAAGAATGATACACTGAATTTTTCATGAACTTTCATGTCTTGAAAGCTATTGCATTTTTAGTGAAAAGTCAACAAAATTAGACTCAAAGGTACAGTTTACTTATAATTATAATGATTAGTTTTTATTATATTGTCTAACCAGTTTATTAACTCCATGAATTATTTATTCAGGATTATGATTATTTTTAAAATGTACTTTTGTGTTGAACTGAAGAAGTGGTTTTCAAACACGGTCATGCACAAGAACACTTGTGGGAACTTGCTAGACATGCAGATTCTCAGGTTTCATCTTCTAGGGATTGTGAATTGTGGGTGAGGTCTTGGGGTCTGGGAATCTGCAAATTCAGCAGGCTTCCAAGGCATTTTTAATGTATCTACCCATAATGTATCTACACATTTTGGTATCACTTCTTAGCAAAAATATGTTTGCGTGAAAATTGTATGAACTTGGATGAGCACTTTGGGCCACTGGGGCCAGACTGAAATGGGGTATTCTTGATCTCGTCCTACCTGTGTGTACACCAGCCTATGGAGAAGGCAGCTGACTTATTTGGGAGAAGCAGCACGTTTGCACTTTGTGTATTGGCACCGACATTTGTTAGAAAATAAAAAGTGTTCAGGTACTAGAAATGATCAAGGTGCTATAAGATTTTTCTTTCCTCCTCCTTTTCTTCTTCTCCTTCCCCCTTCTTCTTCACCATATTCTTTGACCTGCATTTGGCATTTTATGTAATAATCATGGTAGCAGGAAGAAGGAACCATCTTATACTTTATCAGGTACCCTTGAGAAATAAACACACAGTAAGAGTAACAATTTATCGTTCTTAAGTTTGACATCATGGTGAGCTGGCAAGCCTTCCCATAATGCATTTCTTTGTGCCTTTCCAGAGATAGATTTACATCATCTATCAAAGTATAGCATTTTTTTTACCTTTCTAAGTATGCATAAAAACGTCCAGGAAGTAATGTTCAGTGCAAAGTTTTTAAAGATTTTTTTTTTAGAGAGAGAGGAAGGGAGAGAGAGATAGAAACATCAATGTGAGAGAGAAACATCGATTGGCTGCCTCCTGCACGCCCCCTGCTGGGATTAAGCCCACAACCTGGGCATGTGCCCTGATGGGGAATTGAACCGGGACCTCTCAGTCCATGGGACAATGCTCAATCCACTGAGCCACACTGGCTGGGCACAGGGCAAAAGATTTTTATTAGAAAATGATGCCATGCTATGGAAAACAACTGGGCCAACTGCTTATTGACCTGGTCCCCACAATAATCGGTGACAAGCATGGCAAGACTGGCAGCTGTTGTCATTGGAGTTGCTGTAAGGCTGTGGAATTAAGTTTCTCCTTGATTAGGAGTTGTGTAGTACAGAACTCATGACTTCAGGGTCTTCTGTAGGATGCAGTAATGAAGAGGGGACAGACTAGCCTTAGGGGTGCAAGACTGTGGGGTCACATACAACGTGGCACAAGGCTTTGAAGATGAATGTCAGTTTTAAGTAGACTGTGCTGATCTGCCTCTGCTGAAAAAATAGAACTTTCAAAAAAGCCAATATTATAGTCCAGATCTTGAATATATGGTTTGATAATAAAAATGTATGTATGATAGTTATAAAAAATGTATACTTAGATTATAATGTAGATCTAATCTGAGAATTGTGTAGATCTAAAACTGAAAAGCAGAGTTAGAATCTTTTACAAAATTATAAACATATGTATGAACCTAAAGAATTGGGTGTCAAATATACTTGAAAAAAAATCAAATTTGGGATGCTCAGAGAATCACAGATGTGTTAGTCACTCTTGCATCTTAAACATATGTTGTTGAATGTTCTTTATTGTCAGTACTGTTTTTATTCTTTTGTTTTCCATAGACACGATGCCATTATTATCTCAGGAACTGAAATGGCCAAACAAATCCAGAAAGAAATACGGCAGGGTGTGGAGTCCTGGATTTCCCTTGGGAACAGAAGACCTCACCTCAGTATCATTTTAGTGGGTGATAACCCAGCAAGCCATACCTATGTCAGGAAGAAGGTCAGAGCTGCCTCTGCTGTAGGTGGGGATGTTTTAGTTGTACTTGTTACTAAAGAATGTTTCTGATTTTACTTCAAAGTGTAATAATTATGAATAATAATTGTCAAATAAGTGTTATTTGAATAACATTTATTATTATGCTAGGTTTTTTGGTTACCAATATATATATATTCCTTACTCCTTTTCTTTAAAGTTCTTATTGCATTGATTCAGTGTGATTTCATATGCTACGGTGAGATGTGAGAGGAAAACTTTACACTTAATGGGCCCATTTTTATGACATTTGCTTTAATGAGATGATAAATCTGGCCAGTTCACTCTGTCACACTTGGCCTGTGTTATTGGTATATTTAATGTGCTCAAATTCACTAGAGTAGCTTATGACAAACAACTGCAATTTGCCACATAGAATACTGGGCCAAAGAATGCATGTGAATCATGAGAAAACATCTGTAACTATTTGAGAAATCCCTTCTGATGATGCTTAGAGCATCAGTTTTGTAGAAGGGCCTTTCCTCCTGTGGGACAGGAGCAGAGAAAACTGATTATACACTGAGACACCATTAATGAAAAGAACACATCTTTGTTAGTCAAGTGACTGTCTGCTTGTTTTCTTCTAGGTATCTGTAGTGAAATCATTCTAAAACCCAAGGATGTCTCTCAGGAAGAACTTTTGGATATAACTGATCAGCTGAACATGGACCCAAGAGTCAGTGGCATCTTAGTTCAGTTGCCACTGCCAGGTATTTAATGCTTTTCTCTATGTCTGGTTTGGGTGGGAGAAAGGACATCTTTCAGCAGTATGTCATGACACTGCAAGTAATTTACAGAATTTGCTCAGAAGGGATCAAGCTATATACTTGCACTTAATAGGTGAAAATTCTGAATGACTTACACTTCAGTGACTGAGAATTGTGAAAGAACAATTTAGGCATTGACAATACATGCAGTCCTTGCTCTGCATAGTACTGCTTGACTGTAAAAATGGCTGTGTAAGCTGAAACCGGGCAAAGTGATCTTAAAAACAAAGGGCAAAAAGAACAATTGTTTTGTGACCTTTAAAATATTTTCTCAAAACATCCTAAACTTCCTTATTGTGGTTTATAAATATATAGGGAAATGAAAAAATAGTAAAACTAGTATTTATTTAGTATACTGTAATTTGAAACATTGAGAATTAAAATATTTTATTTCTTTGCAAAAAACTTGTCAGTAGTAGTTTGAACAGAATTGCCTTCTCATCATATAACATAATATGGAGCATGCATCTTTTTTATGTCTTGGTGACCTGAACTTTCATATTTCTTTCCAAGTATGGATCAGCTTTCATTTTGTTCTTTGTACTTGTGAAATATCTCTGAGTTTCTTTAAAGTGAAGTTTTATGCTGGTGTCACTTCCTCTGGGACATTGTCATTCTTTTTGGCACAATAACTTTCCTCATTGATGTTGCTTAGTTCACCTCTGTGACTGCCTAGCTAAGTTGCTCCAGAGGGCACAGTGTCAACATTACAGAGTCACCTGTTTCTTTTACAACCAATTTACACTCAATTAGCATCCTACTGCATCGACTTTAGCTTGTTTTTTATATTCTTACCTGCACTTCACGCTGGCCTAGGTTTTGCCTATCTTTGGTTGATTGTCACCATTTTCAGATCTTTTCACATCGAATTTCAACACCATGTTTTGTCTTTTTGTTGCACTTTCCTCTTCATGGGCTAATTCCCTCTGTTGATTATCCACTTTTGAGAAATGTCGTATGCATTTACACTTGGAGATAAGGAGACAGTACGCTTTGCTGTCTATGGTTGAACTGAATACAAATATGCAGTGACTAGTCATCGATGGACTTGAAAGAAGTGACATGTTGGTCACTGCTTGTGATGCTACATATGTTATTTACATAGGGATTGATGGACCAAAGAGCCACCAGCTCTTCTATAATACAGTCAATATGCCATGATAACTGACATGTGAACAGTGTTGCTGGAGGGCTGGTGTTATTTAATTAGTTGTGGCTCTGAAATTTGTGCGTTTTCAACTGAACCAAGCAAGGACTGCTGGTATAGTATAGGTTACAGTAGTCTTGCGTGCTTCTGTAAGTTTTGACTTGCAGAAAATAAAGATGCATGATGCTTTGTCTGAGATCTTTATATGGTATTAATATTTTAATTTCTCCAACAATATAACTTAATATCTTAGGATATTATAGTTTTTGTGCTGATTAAATTACACCAAAGATTCATGTCTAATTTTAATTCCAATATAGCTGCATTTTAAAAAATTATAAAGTTGGAAAGGATCTTAGAAATCATCAAGTCATTAAGGTTTCCCCTGAGAAAAATTCTTCTAATGGATTCATCATGTTAAAATTAGTATAGTAATTCATCATTTACTTTTAGAAAGAAATTCAACACATATAGCATATTATATTATAGGAAACTAAGGTCTAGAAAATATCAGGAGTTTACTAACATCACAAATCTGTCCAAAAAGTCTTGGCAGTGGGTTTAAACCAAGTTGTTTGGCTCATGCAAAAAAAGAAAAACAAACTTTTTGGTACCGTATTTGCCAAGCAATCTATTTATAGTGTGCAGTTTATGAAATTCCCACCATTTGAATTTTTACTGCATTCAAATAGTTATATAAAATGTTACAAATTTCCAAATAATGACATTAGATTTAGTCTGTCTTAAAAATTAAATTTACATCCATAGAAATTTTACGCCTTTGCGGGCAATATTCCTCATACAGTGAATTTGTTAGCAATACCACTAGATGGCACTAGTGATCTATCTGCAATAAAGGAGTTGCTTGAGTCCTGTTCATTTTAGAGGGTGAGAAGCATAGAACCAAAGGCACCATGGTGGTTAACAATATCTGGATGCTCTCAGAAAGGGCAGTTTTCAATTAGCTGAAAAGGCAATAATATACAAAATAAGAGTAGTTAATATTTGTTACATTAAACTGTTATGTCTCATGCACTTTACATTTATTAACTTTAGATCATTATCTTAGCACCCTCACTAGCATATCAATGTTAGCTAGTGAATAATGTATTCTTACTATATTGCAGTTATGCCTTTATATAGATTATTTTATTTAATCTTCAAAACAGCCTTATGAGTAGGAATTATCTTCTTCATTTCACAGATGAGGAGACTGAACCGCAGAGGTTAAATGAATTGTTCAATAACAGTCTGAGGAATACAGTAGACCCAGACACATGGAAGTGGGGCACAGACTGACATCCCTCAGAAGAGGGGATGGGGGGTGGGGGGGTGGGAAGAGATAAACCACAGAACTTATATGCATGTATGCATGACCAATGGACATGGACAACTAAGCCGGGGACAGGGTGGAGGGGGGGTGGGGTGGGGGGTGCCAATGGGGTAAAAAGGTAAAATATCTGTAACAAAAAAATAAATAAATAAAAAAAATTCAAAAAAAAATAAAATAAAATAAAATAAAATAAAAAGGCAAAAATAAATAAATAAATAAATGAATTGTTCAATATTACTTGCTAGTAAATGCTGGAGCCAGGATCCAAATTCAGACAGTCTGATTCCAGAACCTGACTTTTTAACCTTTATTAACCTATATTATGCTGACTCTGAACATTATAATCATATATGTTTTAAACATCACATTTAACTACCATCTCACCCAGAATTATCTCAGTGATTTTCCATCTGTTCTACCTGTTTTCCAGCCTTGTAACCTATATTTTTTTGGCTTTTCCCTGCTTAATAATGATATTTCTATCATCATTCAAAATTTTATTTTTGGTAAGGTTGAAAAATGATAACAGTGAGAATACCGCCAGGTATTAAATATACTATTCTTCCTGAAGTGGCCAGGGTCTTATTTGAGCAATCATATAGTGAGTGGTATGTCCTTACTAGTAGAAGATACTGTTCAGCTATGGACATATGCAGTCTGAGTTTCTAATCTGACCTTCTGATTTACTGACTGTTATTTAACTGATGAATTACTTTTTTTCTTATTGTAAAAAGAGGATTGAAATAGGCTTTTATCCAACTCATTTGTGTCATATTGTTTGTTGGTTACAGTAGAAAGTAATAAGAACAATGCATATTTACCTTAAACATTGTATTATAACAAAGAACATCTATGAATAATAAAACATTATTCATCAGTTTTTGAGGTGGGTCCAAGACTCTTTGGAATGCTCTGATTGGAATTTTGTATCATATTCTAGCATTAATAATACCTATGATTCATTGCCTATAGTTTTCAGTTGTAGGTGAAGCTGAGTGAAAATTTGTCTAGATTTTAAAAATGTCTCCCAATTATCATAGTTGTCTTTCCCTTATCTAAATTACTACTAATTCCTTTTAGTTCTCAAGAGTCTTTCCACAACATTCAACTTAATTTTCATAAAAATAACAACCCTTTTCACACTCCATTGTTATTTGTTTATATCATTTCAAAAATTAAATTACATAATTTGCTGCAAAAGAACTGGCAAAGAAAGACTGGGATATATTCACAATTATTTCTTGATTACTTGAAACTCAACTGGTAGGGACAGGAGTAGTTTATTATCTACTCTGTGATACTTTTTCAGCAAATCCTGGCCATCAGCCTGCATGTTTTATAGATGCAATGGAATACATTAGTCTTTGGGGTAGATGGCTATGTGGAAGTGGGCTGAGATAGCCTCTCCTGTACATGTCTTTCGGGATTGTTATAATGAACCAGTGAAACAATGAGTAAATGAACAAATGAAATGATTCTATTTAATTACATTCCAATTTCTGTCATTTGGTTAATAATCTGAATTTCAAATTATTTCATAATTAGAAATCTGAGATTTTTTTTTATAATTAGGGCAATATCTTAAGTAAATGAAATTCAAAGTTAAAATCATAATTCTGATGTTGGAGGACAGATTTGCATAAGGATTAAACAAAATGTGCAGGTAGTTTTCATGTACTCATTTGGGTAGAAAGCAAATAAATGAGATAGATTTATAGCTAATAAGCCAACAAAGGAGATAAAAGGGAATTGTAAAAACATTGAATTATTCTAAAGGAGAAAGAAAAAAAAAAAACACACACAAAAATACAACAATGAAAACACATAGCAGTTGATAGATTTAGTTATATAAAATGGAAAGTTATAAATAACCCAATTAAATATTTGAGATTGTCAGATTGAATAAAATGTAAGACCCAACTATATGCTGCTTATAAGAAACACACTTCAGATATAAAGACACAGAGAAGTTAAAATCAAGATGATGGAAAAGACTTATCATGCTAACACTAATCAAAAGAAAGTGAAGTGATTATGCTACTATTAGATAATATATATTTCAGAGCAGTGAATATTACCAGGGATAAACAGTCACTCAATAGTAGTAAAAAAGGTTGTTCATTAAAAAGAAATACTAATTTAATTATTTATATACCTAAGAGAGAAGCTTCAAAATACGTTTCACAAAAACTAATAGAATTGTAGGGAAAATAGACAAATTTAAAGAATAGATTTTAGTACTTCTCTTTCAATAATTGAGAGAACAAGTATACAAAAAATCAGTAAGGATAGAGATTTGAAGATTGTCATCCAACTTGACCTAAATGACCTTTATAGAACATTCTCCTAGCAAAGAACAAAATATACATTTTTTTCTAAACTCACATAGAACATTTACCAAGATACCATTTTCTAGGTCATAAAATAACTTTTCATTGTTTAAAAGGGTTCATGGCACCTAAA